TTTATTTTACACAGTATATCCAAAGTGTTAGGATTCCAACATGTAGTTGGAATGTAGGTCATTACTGAGATATTTAGATTCTTTTTTCCATACAAAGCTTAGATATCTGGGTCTGTTGTATACTTCATGCACGTTCCGTTTGGACCCGCTACATTTCCGCATTCCGAGTACTCAGTAGAGCCGCGTGTGGTCTGCGGCCGCCGTACCGGACAGCATAGTCTGGTAGTGTCTATTAATGCCATCGCACCGATGTTTGGCTCATGTTTATATAGCTCGTGTTTACATTCTTTTACTGATGTGTAGCAGCAAAAACTTCCTGGGCCCTGTTTGCCTTTCTGAACTAGAAAAGGAATGGACTTGGGGCATCTGGGGGAACTCAGTTGGTTAAACCACCTGCCTTCGGTTCAGGTCTTGATTCCAGGCTTCTGTGATGGGGACCTGCATCGGGCTCCCTGCTCCTCCCTCTCCTCTGCCCCCCGCCCCGTGTACTCTCTCGCTCTCTCAAATAAGTAAATAAAATTTTTGAAAAAAGAAAGGGAATGGACTTGCCATACAAGTTCAGTCTTTCTAGGCTCGGTTAGTGTGTGCATTCTTATCAGAAATAAGAGAGAGGAGGCTTAATGCTTCTGAAATAATTTAGTTTATACCGTTTTTATCATAGTTTATAATCTTACTTTTCTTCAGAAGAAGCGGGGCAGGTAGTGAGAACTTCGTAATGCTGAGGAGTTACTGCGACCTGGCAGGCGGTGAGTTTGCCTCAGTGCTCCCAAGAGCTGGCCTGGTCCCGGCCCGGGTAGCACGAGCAGGGATGAAGTAGCACCGACCGACCCGCCCCTCTCTCCAGCCTGCCACGGTGGACATTGCAAACCAGGAGAGTTGCGTCCAGATGAAGATGTCGGGTCTCCCTACAGCTGGGCGGAGATTGTGGCATTTTGCATTGAAAGTAACTACCCGTGTTGGTTTTATGTATATACACGCGTATGTGTATGTGTGTATGGTTAGAAATTCCTTAGACTTCTGGGGCACCTTGGGGGCTCAGTCGGTTAGGTGTCCACTTCGGCTCAGGTTATGATCCCAGGGTTCTGGGATCGCGTTCTGCATCGGGCTCCCTGCTCAGCCGGGAGTGTGCTTCTCCCTCTGCCTCTCCCCTCCCCCTGCTCATGTGTGCACACTTTCTTACTCCGTCAAATAAAATCTTTAAAAAAATAAAGTCCTTAAACTTCTTTGACTTCTGATCCATCTGTAATTTTGTTTTTTTAAAATAATAAGCAGTGGAGCTGGTCATTTCTCTGTACAACAGTTGTACTTTGATTTCTTTTATGTCCTGTTTGTAACCGTGAGCCACACGTGAAGTATGGACAGGATTCGAGTACGCAGAGATGGGAGGGCGGGGAGTTCCGGCGGAGCAGGTCTGCTTTAGGGGCCACGTCTATGGGAAGGTTAAAGGTTAGCGGAATGGGAATGTGTTTACAGAAATGTAAGAAGTAGGGGTGTTAAATCAAGACTTTTTCTAGGTACGTGGTGCAAGGTTGAGACCACATTAGTGAGATTCAAATGCTAACCACAGCTTGGATCCCTCTGTAGAATATTCTGGATCCATTCTTCCTTTGTGTATCACCCTCCCCCAGTAGTATTTTTTTTTTTTTAATTTTACTTACTCATCTGACAGACAGAGATCACAAGTAGGCAGAGAGGCAGGCAGAGAGAGAGGAAGAGAAGCAGGCTCCCCGCTGAGCAGAGAGCCCGATGCGGGGCTCGATCCCAGGACCCCGAGATCATGACCTGAGCCGAAGGCAGAGGCTTTAACCCACTGAGCCACCCAGGCGCCCCCCAACAATATATTTTTTAATGTGTTTCACCATGTACTGTCCGTGACTTAGAGTCCATCTTTATGACCAGCCTCAAAAGGACCTTTCAGAAGCCTACTGGGCCTTTGCAGTTGAGGGCTGCAATGATCAGTGTCTCGTCATTCCTCAGATGGAGATCTCCTTTTCCGAGTTGCAGATACACTGATAAATTAAACTTGGCATTAAAGATGTGATTATAGCTTAGAACTTAGATAAATTCCCATCATGCAAGAAAACAGCGTTTCTTCAATGCTGAGCCTTGCCCGTCGTCCTTCACCCGACAATGAAGGCAGACAGCTCCTCCTGGAAGCCGTCCCTGTGGTGCCACAGTCGGAGACGCTCAGGGTTCCTAGCTTCGAGTTAAGCTTGGAACGTTGCGGCGTTAGCAGCTCCGTCCGTGGTGGCCGCGTCAGCTGCTTCCTGGCGCACGGGTACAAGTATTGATCCGTTTGCTCATGGGGTCTGGGCTGCCTCGTGGTGGGCTTGGGAGGAAGGCCTTGACCACGTGCTGGAGGTCAGAAGGCAGCGACCGGGAAGGCCGGTGGGGAGAGCCATCTGCACTGGCGGCAGCAGGCGGCCCGGGGAAGCGTCCCGGGGAAGCGTCCTGGGAGCACAGGTGAGGAGGAGCTTGCGTCTTGCCCAATGTCCGGAAGCCGTGTGGCTTGGCGGATGGTGGCCGGTGAGCCGGGAGTCGAACGACGAAAGCGTTTTGGCAGACCCGTTGCGTCAGACGTTGCTGTGGAAAGTACAGCGTAAGCCAAAACGGGGAGACGGAGGCAGGGCGGATCGGGCGCGGTGTGTAGTGAGAGGGCGAGGATCTGCGCTCAGGCTCCAGGGTGCGGCGCCAGGCTCGGGCCCGGGGTCCCGCGGGGCGCGCTTCGGGAGCCGGGACTGTTGGAGGATTATGCTGGACACTTGTGCCTGCATCTGAAGATGTGACGGTCACGGTGCTGTCCAGTGTGTGTATCACGTGATCAGTTTGCCGTGAATGTTCGAGCTTACGCTTTGTGAACCTCACGGCACACGTATGTGGCCTCTCTGAAGGCGCTGTGGGCTTTCCGGTCACTTGCGCAGTATTTGCGGTTCCCAGGGAGTCCCCCAGATGGAAGCTTGTATCCGTTGTCTGAGATGGAATGTGGGGCTGCTGGCTCCTCTCGGGGGGCGGCTCCTGGTCTGAATGAGCGGCTGGAAGCAGACGGGGGGCTCGCGGCGAAGCGCGGCTCTTGCGTGTGGCACAGGCCCCTTCCCAGTGTGAGTAGTCGGCGGGTGCCTGTCGGAGGAGAGAAATGGTCACTTAGACAGCTGGGCTGTGGCATTAAGCCGTCGGTCACAGACCGCATAGAAGTACAGAGTATACTGGGGACAGAATCATTTCATCGGCCGCCTGCGAGGGAATAGCCTGCCTTACAGAGCAGACGGCGGGCTGGGGGTGATTTCCCACGTGCACGTCAGGGCCCCGCACTCAGGGAGACCCAGGACCGGCTAGAGCAGAGTCAGGCTAACGGCTTGGCTGTCGCTCTGTTGAGCTCTCGCTGAGGAACATGCTGCAGTCCAGAAAGCTGCCGTTTATTGAGCGCCTACTGTATGTATTTTGTTTACCGTGATATGTCAGATTTATAGAAAAGGACAAGCTTTGCCAACTGTCTCTGCTTTTTGGGGTGTGTGTGTGTGTGTGTGTGTGTGTGTGAGAGAGAGAGGAACCGGTGGAGGTCTCCACTTGCACGTGGTTAGTAGTGCCGCGGACGTGCTGGCTGACCTCTGAGGGGCGTGTATCTGTCTGGAGGCAGTCAGGAGTCTGGGGCGGGGCAGGGGGTGTGCAGCGCGGGGGCAGGGGACAGACAGACGCCGAGGAGCACATGGGGGTGAACACGGGAAAACCTAGGCCAGATTGGGGGGGGGGGGCTGCAAAAGAGAGGACTGGGTTTTAGCTTGTATAGAATTTTTATAAACGCAGCTTGCGGGTAATGTAACCACATGAAATTTGAAACATACCGTTTCCCAAAATTGTTTTGTTAAATTGAGACAGTCTCTGCCATTTTCGTAATGAGATCCGTAGTAGATGGTTTGAGGCACGGAAAACAATGGCATGCTATGCTACGTGCTAGATTTCCCCTGAGGGGAGAGTGGGCACAGGCCTCAGCAGCGCTCCCCAGTCAGACTGTCCTCTCTGAACCGGCTGGCAGCAAAAGGCAGCGATGAGGAGTTTTCGAGTGGAAACCACGTGCTTCCGCGGTGTTGTGGAACTTTGCTTCCATGAAGTCATTTCTTGAACTCACTGTCTTTACAACTCTGAGACCCTTTCTGCGTTTTCCCTTTATGACACAGTACTTCATGACTATTGAAATTACCCTGAGCTACGAAATGTGTCCTCATGTCCTCGGCTGTGGGACGTCGGCAGTGCTCCAAGGGGGATTTCACGCATGCGATGGCTTCCTGTGGCCAGTCCAGTAAATGACTCCTACGGGTTTTTATGTTCTTGCTGGACTGTCCAGGTAGAACGCTGGTGACTCCGTACGGGAGCTGTGTGTAGTCCTTAAACCTGTTTGGCAGAAGCTACTTGTCCTGACAAGCCTGCCGTGGGGCTCGGGGCTCCCAGCTCCGCGTCCATGCGGAGTTCTGCCTCATGATCTCACTGCACCGATGCGCCGCGTTTTCTGCACAGCCCTCTTACTTTTACTTACCGAAGTGCCCCTCGCTGGATGCCACAAGAAGTTTTTTCTTGTTTGAAATTTTAAAATACAGCTTTGGAAATAAGGGGATGTAGACTCCGGTAAATCGCTTTTGTCTCAGAGTGGTGAACAGTGTAAGTCGTGAGGGTAGCTGTGGCTCATTCAAACCCAGGGCCATCAGAGCTTATCTTGAATTTCCGTTAGGATGCCGGTCTTCCTCTCCTCGTCAACTGGTTTATTAGTAATCGATTTTTCAGGAGGACTTTCCTTGATTTAGAAACAAACTAGATACGTTTCCCATCCGTTCCTTTATATTTACCAAATAGAGTGTTAATTTTATTAGTACTGATTTTCATGTAAAAGCAAGAAGCAGGACTTCTGTTACAATTATCTGTGTACTCTTTTATTATGCTGTGTTTTACTGAGGTTTGTATTTTTTTACTGTGTGTCTTCAAGCAGTGTGTCCTGCCTTGTTTTTGTTTAGGGCGCTGGTCAGGACAAACTCGGAATCTACGTCAAGTCTGTTGTAAAAGGAGGCGCTGCGGATGTGGTTAGTATCCGTTTTAAAGATGGAAGTCTTACGCGAGTCCTTTTCCACAAATGACCTGCGAGGCCCCACTGATGGTTATCGTTAGAAAACACCATGTAGACTATTTGCTGGAAAAAACAAACATGAGCTTCCTTACCGTTGACTTTCTTCTTCTTCCTCTTGCCCTTGGCTGTCCCCACTGCCCAAAACACGTGCCCTTCGGCTATGCACAGGATGGACGCCTGGCTGCGGGCGACCAGCTCCTCAGCGTGGACGGACGGAGTCTGGTAGGACTCTCTCAAGAAAGGTATCGTCATTTATGTACTTGTTTGTTTAAAGCTGAATATTAGCATGTTTAGGGATGTTTCACATTTGGAATTAGAAGACAAAAAAATGCCAAAAAGCTATGCCCTTACTCTTCGCCTTTTTAAATGTAAAATAGTGTACAGGATACCACATTTGTTAGCAGATTACAAATATGTGTTTAGTTTGGAGTGGTTTCTTTGAAGCTTAAAAAAAAATACTCTTGGCACATGCTGGGAATGTCCGAGTGTCGTCTGGCCGCCCTCACTATGGCAACAGGAGATGAGTGCTTCGTTACTCTCGAAAGGAAGGGAATGGGCAGTAGGTCGTCGGTCTGAAGGTCAGAACTGTTCCTCAGAGTAGTGTGGCCACAGGCTGCATTTCATTTTCTTACGTTTGTGCTTCTCTCTTCTTTCTAGGGCGGCAGAACTCATGACAAGAACAAGTTCTGTGGTGACGCTAGAAGTAGCAAAGCAGGGAGCAATTTATCACGGCCTGGCCACCTTGCTCAATCAGCCGTCCCCCATGATGCAGAGAAGTAAGGGCTCGTGGCAGGGGCTGTGCCGTCTCTTCCGTAACTGCTGCTGGGAGCAGCGGGCAGGTCTGGGTCACTTCGTGCGTCCCATGGATTTTAGCGTCCTGGCCTTCTCTCTGTAGCCACAGGATCTCGGAGGGTTGGGTGCTGTTCCTTTCAGCATCCCAGCAGGGTGCAAGCCCTCCAGTGAGATGCCCGGGAAAAATGTCCAAGAGCAGCGTCTGGTGTCTGGCCCCAGGGTGGTTCCCCAGGTTCCTGCCCGCAGAAGCCCCCGTGGGCCCAGCCGGCTGCTGGAGGCACTTGGTCGTAGGCAGCAGGCGATGCGGGTGGGACGTGAAATCTTCAGAGAACAAGCAGGATTCTCCACTGAAACAGCTGTAGAACTGCGTATGAACAGTTACTTAAGCCCTGCGTGTGCAGGACGTGACTGTCTTGTTGTACGTAGGTCACTTTAAATTAAGGTCTCTGTTATTGACATGAGATCATCTCTTGGAACCATGATTTTGTCGCTACATCAGAATAAATCAGAATAAAACCAATAGAAATTTAGGGCTTTTTTGGAAAGGATTAGTTCAGAAATCACAGGGAGAAACCTGTTAGGATTCACGTTATCTTTTAAATCATTACATATCTTGCATTTACTTTGCTAACTTTGTGCACAGCTGCTAAGGCCTGTCTGGCCTTGATGGAGTTCCCTTCTCCGTCAGTCCATATTCTGGGAGCTTCCTCCAAGTCCAGGACCTGAAGTCAACCTAATGGTGACATGGCTGCAACCACAGCCTCTGAGAACCTGGACCTGCTGTGTACCAGAATAAACAGAGCATAGCTCAACCCAACCGTGTGTTGTGTAGACCTCGACCCAGCATATCTCTCACTTTTCTCATGACGCTACCGCATTGGTGGGCTAATGGCACAGCTTATGGTCATTTCCAAGAAGGAAATGACCTTTCCCCAGAGGGAAGCTATTGGAACAGAGAACATGTCCGGGCTGCCACACGGGGCACATGAAAGCCAGAAGTGGACGTGGACAGTCACACCACCAGCTACTAAAAGAATTAGTGTGTTTTAGAAAGTGAGGGAAGTATATTTATCTTTCACTTTGAAAAGTTACTTTAGAAGTTGTCTTGTGACTTAACAGGTGGAGTTTATGAGAAGACAGGGTTAGAAGGAGCACCTTTTCCCATCAGTGCCAGTTAAATGTTGCTTTGAAGATTGTCTAGAAAAAGATTTTACTCTTAGATTTAAAAAAATTACCTTATTTCTCCCACTAAAAATATGGTCTTATGAAATTTTAAATATTTGTAGGTTTTATCTGTCTTTAAAGACTAAATAGGGGGGCGCCTGGGTGGCTCAGTGGGTTAAAGCCTCTGCCTTTGGCTCAGGTCATGATCTCAGGGTCCTGGGATCGAGCCCCGCATCGGGCTCTCTGCTTACCGGGGAGCCTGCTTCCTCCTCTCTCTCTCTGCCTGCATCTCTGCCTACTTGGGATCTCTCTCTGTCAAATGAATAAATAAAATCTTTAAAAAAATAAAAAAGACTAGGGTGTTTAAAATAAAATCTCACGCAAATGAGGAGAACCTGAATACACTTTGATTTCAGTTTCAGACCGTCGTGGCTCAGGTAAACCCCGACCAAAGAGTGAAGGTTTCGAGCTCTATAATAATTCAGCCCCAAACGGATCACCTGAGAGCCCTCAGCTGCCGTGGGCAGAATACAGTGAACCTAAGAAACTGCCGGGTGACGACAGACTGATGAAGAACCGGGCCGATCACCGCTCCAGCCCCAACGTGGCAAGTAAGAAGGGTCCCTTTCCTGTCTTTCCCTGGCCTGCACTTGCACGGTTCCCGTCGGTGCTGGGGAGACACCGTGTGCTCTCTTAGTTACCAGGGTGGTGGGAGTCCCTGTGGGCGCTCGCTGATGGAGACGTGCTCTCGGTGAGAGAGGTGGAAAGCCGTGTTCTCCTGGCAGACAGTAAAAACTAGGTTAGAACACTGATTCAATGCGTGCTCTGGACGCGTCATTGATACGGTCTCTGGTGGGAGTGGGCAGACTGCCAGCAGGTCCCCTAGGGGTGCTTCTACTGTTCAAGGGTTGTTAGCAAGAAGAAGAATCGGGCGCCTGGGTGGTTCAGTGGGTTAAAGCCTCTGCCTTAGGCTCAGGTCATGATCTCAGTCCTGGGATCGAGCCCCGCATTGGGCTCTCTGCTCAGCGGGGAGCCTGCTTCCTCCTCTCTCTCTGCCTGCCTCTCTGCCTGCTTGTGATCTCTGTCAAATAAGTAAATAAAACCTTTAAAAAAAAAAGAAGAAGAAGAAGAACCAGTAGAAGGATATGCAACATGTACAAGGTTTGCAAAGCATAAGAAATTTTTGTCTGTCCCATCGCCAGAAATGTCCGCCAGTCCCTGGTCTGCAGATGGCACTTGGTAGCTCGGGACTCTGATGATGCCAGTGAGGGGAGAGGGTGTGCTGAGCCCTGATCTCCCACGTGGCTACTGTTTGTCGGGTGCTGACTCCTCGCTGGCAGACGGAAGATGCGGGGCGCGTGGTCACGACCCTCAGAGAGCTCTGTCACGTGACATCGCGTTTTTTTTTTATCTAATGTTAAACTTTTTTCCCCCGACCCTTTCTAACAGATCAGCCTCCGAGCCCCGGAGGGAAGAGCACGTACACCCCCGGAACAACCGCCAAGATCACGTCCGTCTCCACCGGGAACCTCTGCACGGAGGTGTGAGAGCGAAGCGAGTGTCCTCCCTGCGGCAGATGCCCAGGCCTCCCGCGGGGTCCCTGACCTGTCTCCTCCCACATTCACGCCACACGTCAGCCGTGTTTAGAATTCCAGAGGCCCTCTTCACTTTTAACACAATAAGGAAATTAGCTTTAAATGAGGGAATCAGGGAAAAATGTTTTAATTATTCCCAGTATGGGATCAAACGCTTTAAATTTTTAACACAGTTTTAAATGTATCTACTATATTTTAAAACAGATCATTGGAAATTAAATTAGTTTATATGCAAATTGCCAAGAGCTCACGTTTCTTTCTTCTTCCCGGTTTCCAGGAGCAGACCCCCCCACCGAGACCGGAGGCCTACCCCATCCCCACACAGACGTACAGCCGGGAGTACTTCACCTTCCCTGCCTCCAGATCCCAGGACCGGGTGGCGGCTCCTCAGAACCAGTGGCCAAGTTACGAGGAGAAGCCGCACATGCACACAGACAGTAATCATTCCAGTGTCGCAGTTCAGGTTAGAGGGAAGGAGTCTGTGAACGTTCCCAGCCCTCACGGATAAACCCATGTGACGGGAAAATCTGAATGATGTCAGAGAGACAGGTCACACCCTCTGTAGGACAGAACCGAGTCTGATAGTTGTCTTCTTTCCCGGGTTCCTGGTTAACTGAGGAAGAGGGGATAGGAAGGAAAACAAGCTGTGAGGAGGAATGCTGTATCCCCCCGATGTTTGATCAGTGAAGGGTTCGTAACGGTACACCTGCATTCCAGTCTGTGAGGCAGGATTTGGATTTGAGGAGTGAGAAACGAATGATGTGCGTTTATCTTTGTTTGTACGGAAGCTGTCCGGGCACTGGGACACAGGCGTGACCGTGGTCCCTGCCCATGGAACTAACCATGTGGCTGGGAAATGAGGCAGATAAAGTCAGTACGTGTACTGACCCCTGCTGGGGATCTGAGTCCCCACTGGTGGCAGAGCTGCCTGTCGATCTACGTGTGACCGGCACCTGGGCTCCCACATTACCTCACAGCGCTGAACAGAAGAGCTTTTCAGACCAAGGGACAAGGCACAGAGACGTGCCACTGAGCGGGAACCAGGCTCGGGGCAGGGGGCAGTGCCCGGTCTTTGCTGCCTGGAACTACACAGCAAGGGCTTGAAGTGATAAGCTGAGGAATTTGGAGTCTATCCAAGTTAGTAGAGAAGGGAATGTCCATCTGAATCGTTGAGCTGGGAACATTATCAGATGTGCTTTTCTGTTTTAGAAAGATGACGTTGGGTTGTGAAAGACTGGAAGAAGAAATCACATGCGGGCATAGAGATGTAACAAGTATGGGTCATGGATGGTGAATTCTGGGTGTGGCGCTTTAGTCGGGGTGGCCGGAGGAGCCCAGGGCTGAAAGTGTGGCGGAGCTGAGCCGAGAAGGCCAGGACGACAGAAGGGCTCCCAGTCGGGGGGTGGGGAGCCCAAGTAGTGGTGAGGAGGAGCCACACGGAGGGCAAGAAGTGATGCTGAGATCACAGATGATGCCGTCTTGTCCACAGGGCCAGCCTGCCACTTGCCTAGGGAGGCCTAATGACCCCCACAGGCCCAGTCTGTCTGGGACCGTTGCGTGCCCAGCTCCACCGGCCAGCTGGAGTTAGCGGAGAAGGGGTCTTCCTCCAGATGTCTCCTTCACAGTGGAGTACTCGTGTGGCCTGCTTCCTCTGGTGTCTTTTGTTAGCCCGTAGGAAGCTGTCCCTACCGTGTGTCAAGGTCATCTACACGTTTGCTCCTGTTTTGTGGGAATATCGTTGTTAGGCCTCCATGTTCATAGTGTATATCTGTTGCTGGCTTCTGCCTCATTTCGGGGGTCAGTGAGCTCGAAGAGGAAGTCGGAACGCAGAGAGGTCCGTGTGGCAATGGGTCAGTTCTATGGATCTTGACATGACTGAGCCTCAGCGTAGGACTTCAGCAGGGGATACATGGGAGATGGCAGCAGGGACCCCAGGGCCGCGCGGGGTCTGCAGGGAGAGCAGAGCGTGACCCTGCAGGTTCGGTGCCGCAGCAGACAGGAGGAGCCGGTGGAGGGTCTGAGGCAGGACCTTTGACATCGTCCACTTGAAAAGTGTGCGACAAATAGCAGGAAATCGAATGACACCGTTGACATGAGTAGCATCGGTTGAACTGCGCGTGTCCACTTTTATGCCCACGTTTTTCATTACAGTGCTGCGAATGTACGTTCTCTTCCTGATAGTGATGTGTTCTTTTCTGTGGTCGACGGTACTGTAAGAGTACGGTGTGTGCTGAGACGTACTGAATATGGGGTGATCAGCTCTTGTTGTTTCCATCAGGCTTCCAGTCAGCAGTCGGCTGTTCGTCATTAAGGTCTGGGGGACGTCAGAAGTGGTGTGTGGATTTTTGACCACCCAGGGTTCAGTGCCCCCATCCCCTGCCTCTTTTGAGGGTCTGGATACTGCTTGGTGAGCAAGAAACTGGTTCTGTGGGCACCGTACAGATAGAGCAAATGTGGGCAGTAAATGTTCCAGTCTTCTCTCAGGCTACTGTGTTTTCAAGTGATACTTCCTTTTTTTGTTGTTGGTTTATTTTTTAAGGAAGGAAACAGCTTATATTCCAGATTTGCATCTTTAATTTCTACACATTAATAGGACAGGAAAAAAATGTTTGACATCAGAGTGAATCATTTCTATCAATTTAAACTACTTTTAGACGTGCCCTTGTGCAGAGACTAGGCCTCTGGAAGACTGTTCCTTTTGTTCTCTTCCACACATACACACTGCGTTTTGTACCTTTGTGAGACGGGACCAGAGACACCCGGATGCCTGGCTTGTCCTGGCATGTGCCCAGCTCAGTCAGAGTCCCCAGAGTCAGTCATCTGCTGGTGGAGCCATGGCTGACGCGTTTAAGATTCGATCGTGACTCATACTCAGAATTGCACTACACTAAACACACTTACCCTCTCAGTGTCCGTCGCGGGAAGGGCCGCAGTGCAGGTGTGTGCAGGGACCCACGCAGGAGCGGGAAGGCCACGCTCGTCCGTGAAGCAGCTGAATGTGCCGTGTGTGTGTGCGCACGCACCGTGATGCAGACGGGAAGCCCAGCTCTCCCTTGTTTGTAACAGATAAAGAAATTCCCTGGAAAAGCCCTGACTCCCCCACCCCAACATGGTGTCCCTACTTCGTGCGTCCCATAGAACCACCGAGCTGATGGTTTCAGCCTCTGTTCCGCACTCCCCTGACGATTTCCCTAAAATGTTTTCTCCCTGAAGACAAAATATTAATGCACTTTTAGTAATTTTTTTCTAAGCAGCTGAAATAGAACAGTTTTCCTTTTTTCTTTTCCCAGCGTGTTACCCGTTCCCAAGAAGAACTTCGGGAGGACAAAGCTTACCAGCTAGAGCGGCGTCGAGTCGAGGCGGCCTTGGACCGCAAGTCCGATAGCGACATGTGGATCCATCAGAGCCCCTCCGTGGGCTCCAGCGCCTCCAGCCAGGAGCACCTGGACCACTCCTCCAAGTCAGGCACCCCCGCGTCCACTCTGACCAAAAGTGGCCCTGGGCGCTGGAAGACGCCAGCCGCCGTGCAGCCTGTGCCAGTGGCCGTGTCCCAGCCGGTCCAAACAGACCTGCCCCCACCGCCCCCGCCGCCTCCCACGCACTATGCCGGGGACGTGGACGGAATCCCTGTGGACTTGCCTCTCCCTCTGCCTCCCGCCGGCCAGACGGGACCCGCCGCCGCCCAGGCGGCGGCCGCAGAGCGCAGGAAGCGGGAGGAGCACCAGCGCTGGTATGAGAAGGAGAAGGCCCGGCTGGAAGAGGAGCGGGACAGGAAGCGCAGGGAGCAGGAGCGGAAGCTGGGCCAGATGCGCTCCCAGTCCCTGAACCCAGCCCCGTTTTCCCCGGGGACCGTCCCCCACGTGAAGCCGGAGAAGCCCTCCGCGCTGCAGAGGCCCCAGGAGACGGTCATTCGGGAGCTGCAACCCCAGCTGCAGCCGCGCACCATCGAACGCAGAGACCTGCAGTACGTCACGGTCAGCAAGGAGGAGCTGTCGTCGGGAGACAGCCTCTCCCCGGACCCGTGGAAGCGGGACGCCAGGGAGAAGCTGGAGAAGCAGCAGCAGATGCACATCGTGGACATGCTGAGCCGCGAGATCCAGGAGCTGCAGAGCAGGCCTGAGCGCAGCGCGGAGGAGAGCGACCGCCTGCGGAAGCTCATGCTGGAGTGGCAGTTCCAGAAGAGGCTGCAGGAGTCCAAACAGAAGGACGAGGAGGATGAGGACGAGGAGGACGACGACGTGGACACCATGCTGATCATGCAGCGCCTCGAGGCTGAGCGGAGAGCGAGGGTAAAGGGGACGGGTGCTGTGGGCGCGCGTGCCCGGGGCGGCGCTTTTGGGGGCGGCCATGCCCGGGCTCCTGGTGAGTCGGCCAGGGCCCCGGCCCATCGCGTGGTGCCGCACCCGCTGCTGCTAGCCAGCGTCCCGCAGGGTGAGCCAGGGCGAGAGGCGCAGACGTTGAAGAGTAAACCCCGTCCACACGGAGCTTGGCTCCTCAGGTAGCTTCTCGTTAACGCCTCGGTTGAGAAAACGAGTTAATAACCACTAGTTCGTTAGTAACCGGTAATAGTCCTCATCAGGGGTTGGCAAAACCTTTTCTTAAATGGCCAGAGAGTGAGGGTCTGAGGCCAGGTGGGCCGTACAGACTGTCTTCACGGTGCAGCCTGGTCCAGCAATGGAACCGACGGAGATGGTGCCCGTGCCACCAGGGGGCTGTGCTCCTTGGAGCCGCCCAGGCGGCCAGCTGGCAGGTCCTGCGCTCACCCCTGGTCTCGATTATCAGCCCTGAACGGCGGTGACAAAGAGCACTGCTGAGAACTGTAGTACCAGAGAGCGACTCCATGGGGCGCTCATTCTCAGGAGGCAGGTTCCTCCGAGACCAAGCTCCTCTGCTTCAGCGGCAGGATAGAGACGCTGAGAGTTTGGGGTGTTACTCCCGTTTCCCCTCGATAAAAGTAACTTGTTCTTCCAAATCAAATAACAGAAGTGAAATTCGTGTTAGTAGAACACAGTAGATCCCTTAAGGTGCCAAATTTGAGAGTCTTTGTTACCCTGTCCAGAGAACTGTTGTCAGGCACTTAAGCGACCGGTCACGTCCATGGGTTTGTTTACAGCGCAGTGTTCTGGGAAAGACAGCCTGGAGCGTGACTTCTGGGTCTGGTTTCTAGTGGCAGCGTGGATTTGGGGCTGTCTGCTAGAGGTCTCAGCAGACACCTGTTCAGTCCGACGCTTCCGTCTTTCCACGTTAGGACGCAACCTAATCTTAGATAATCGTTCATACGTAAAGCCCTAGTCTGATCCCTTTTCGAGTTTGCCCTGTAGATTATTTTCCTGAAACATGTCACACACCTCTTCTTACGCACATATTCTCAGCAACAGGTATGTGGAACTCGGCCCCAAATTCAGCAGGAACACTGCGGTGTCTCAAAAGCCCAGATCTTAACTGTGACATGATTTTATGGGTTTATCTGAGTCACCGGTAATAAACATTCTTAAAATTTGAAAGAGCAACTGACGGGTGACTAATGGGTCACTTACAATGTCCAAATTCTTTGCAGAGTCTCCACTCTGGGGTCAGGACTCCGGCCTCCCCTGTCCACACGGTGGCTGAGTGCTTGGTGCAGGGTCCTCTGCCTCCGGTGCTGCTAGTGGCAGGAGGTGATCGCAGGAGCCGAGTGCGCTCCCGGCCTCAGGTCTCACCCCCCGAAACAGGAGAGCGTGTTGGCTGCGGTCCACGCTGCGTGTGAAGCCGATGTCTCTGGTGAACCAGCAGACATCATTCACCTTCACCTTGGTGACGCTGTCCCCTAGTGAAAAGTCAGCACCTGCTCTGTGGCATTTCTACGCTTACTCTCCGCAGCAAGTTCTCACTAACGGTCTGCTGGGCTTCCCAGACAGCTCAACACTGACTGTTTGAGAGCCTGTTCACATGAATTACGACATGTGGAAAGTTTTGTACGATGATTTCGTTAAAAGTATCTGTGTATTTATCACTAATCATGTTTACGATTAATATCTTAGTCTCCCAATAAGAGAGCTCAGGGAAATTGTGCTTTTTAAAGTTTCTTCTACTTAGCAGAACAAATAATGAAACTCAAGTGTGTAATACATTTGTGGACATTTTCCTGTTTCTGAGTTCGGGAAGCCGGTGTGTAGCGTTTGCTGTTCTCGCCGGGGTGTCCTTCAGACGCCGGTGACGCGCGGGAGCAGCAAACACGCCGGTGGCGGTGGCGGACAGGTCTGAACGTGTTTTCACACTTCGTCTTTCTTTTTTTTCCTTCTCTGTTACCTGCAGCAGACTGCTCTGCCAGCAATCTCTGTTCTAGATTTGGTATGTTCTCATTTCTTTCCCTTTGGTACTTTTTTCCTGTCTTGATTTTCTTTTTCCTTTCAGTGGTGGTGGTTTTGTGTTTCTGTGGAGCGGTTCCTGGGGGTGTCCCAGAGCAGGCTGCGTAGCCGCGTCCTCTCCAGCGCATGCCTCTCAGTGTGTTTAGATTAGTTCCTCTTTGCTTTCCTCCGTTCCTTTTGACTGTACTGTTTGTTATGGTTTTTGACCTTTTCTCAGTTTTAGTCATAAAACTGATTCCGTGTGTTCTTATGTAGTCATAAATACGTGAGCAAATGAAAGAAATTTTGCAGTGAATAATGTTTCATTTTTACTACCTCGGTGTGATAGATTTGGAATAATCAACTATTAGAAACACACACGAATTCGTGTTCACATTGTTTTGCCGATGAAGGTGCAGGTCTCTAGGAGAGCACCGTCTGTCGGTGGCACACGAGCCCTCGGTAGACACTTACTCCGTGTCGTCGTTGATAATCCTGGGCGGACTCGGTTTATCAGCCGTGCGGTGTACTGTTGGTCGAGAAACGCTAAGCCCTTCCTGCTGTCAGTTCCGTGCGTCCGCTGTCCGTATTGGGGATGTTTGGTTGCCCTTTGGTGTCGGCGACGCTCAAGTACCGTCACCTGTGTCGTCGGCCAGAGTCACGTCCTGCTGGCGTACCCGTGACGTTCTCTTGAGGTCATTTTTGTCAGTCGGCTTCCAAGTGAATATGGACAGCGTCACACGGGACTGTGAACAGTCCCAAAGTCCCGGTCACCAAATAAGCCCTTTGTCTTCATTTTGTTTTCTTTAAATTCAAGCAGTGTGGCGGCACTGTTTGCTCCAAAGAGAAGTCGCTCGCGGACATAGCTGCCCTCCTTGACAGCTGAGGGGCATACTGCTTTAGCTCTACTTTTCCCACAGGAGACAGAAAACACAGATGTCCCCTCCGTACTTCGGTGTGGGGAGGTGTACCTGCGGCAGGCGGTCGGACACTCAGAGCAGTTTCCCAGGGTCAGCTGCTCACACGCACGCGCACGCAGGGTGTCCCTTACACACCGGATGCTGACCGGCGCACGGGCTGAGGGGTCCCCAGCTCCGTGGGCTGGTGAGAGGCCTCTGTGCAGAGGAGTGATGCCCAGGGAGAAAGGGTTACACCAAGATTTGTATTTTAAAGACACACTTCAGAGTTTTTCTTTCTTTAAAAGGTAACTGTCGAGTATTAATGTTGACTTGAACTACCTCAGTCTGAGCATTTCTTAGCCTGATTCCCCAGTGAATACGAATGGGACGGCCACAGTGTCCTTATCTCCAGAGTCCTGTCAGCTGGCAGGCTGCGTGGAGAGTCCTCCTCTGCTGGTGTCAGTCCTCTCTCTGAGAGGAGAAGGGCAGTGGCAGGTGCGACAGGCAGAGAAGTGTCCCCTGTGCGGGGTCTACGGTGTGCCCTTCATACGGAGCGTCCAGGACGACTGGGAGGACGGCTGGGCTCAGCGGCATCGTCGTGGCAGGCCTGGCTCTGCTCACCCTCTGCTCTTCAAGGGCCGCCTCCCGGTCCGAGACCCCCACTCACGCTGCTGGCCCGAGCCCTCTCAGACCAAAGACCCAAACGCACTTGCCCATGTCTCACCTCCACTGGGAGTCAGACAGGTCGTGGCAGACCCCAGTGTGTTTCCCCCGAAATGCCCGCCCAACTGCTCACCTGTGCCTTCTGCTGTGCCCGTGTCAGCAGACGCTTGAATGACCTTCTGGTGAACCTTCGTCACCGTAAGCCCTGTTCCTGTCTGCTGAGAAATCTCGCCGTCTTCACTTTCTCAGAATCTGAGCCCCGGACACCCACACTGGCCCGAGCCACTGCCGTCTCCTCACTGCAAAGGACTTCTTGCTGAGTCCCTCTTCTGCCTTTGTCCGGTGCAGCAGCTACAGAGATCCTGCTTAAAGAAGTGTCAGCTCTCCGGAGTCCTCAGAACCCAGCAGTGGCTCCCTTGTCCCTTAAAGACACATCCAAGTCTTCCCATGGCCATGAAGTGCTGTAATTCATCCGTGACTCCCCCCGGCCCCACCTGCCCTCCCCTTCACCACGGCGCTGTGGGGTGGGGGGGTCAGCCGTCACCGTGGCTTCCCCTGGCTGTGGGCGAAGGGCAGCGGGTCCCTTCTACCCAGTGACAGGATGGGCCCCTCATGCCTCTGTTGCCCCAGCTCTCCAGATGGTTCCGTACGTCACTCATCCCCTCGTGACAGCTGTGTGATGTGGGTAGAGCACAGGGGCAAGGCCCGTGTGCAAGAGATTCACCAGACGTCAGGGAGACAGGAGTCTTTTTTTTTTTTTTTTTTTTTTTTAAGATTTTATTTATTGATTTGACAGGGATCACAAGCAGGCAGAGAGGCAGGCCAAGAGCGGGGCGGGGGGAGCAGGCTCCCCGCTGAGCAGAGAGCCCGATGCGGGGCTCGATCCCAGGACCCTGAGACCATGACCTGAGCCGAAGGCAGAGGCTTAACCCACTGAGCCCCGCAGGTGCCCCAGGAGACAGTATTCTAACTGGAGTTCACAGTTTATATATATTTCCAATCCTGCTAGACAGAAGCTTTTCCTGCTCGTGAAGTTCTTGCTGGGACCCATTTCTGAACTAGAAATGGACGTGATGTGTGACAGGCTCTGTATTGGCTGGTCTCGGGCTTTGTCTCGGTACTGTTACGGCGGCTCAGCCGCTGATTCGGGACCTGACCGCTCACGGGGAAGCCCCTCTGCCTTGGCCCCGTGCCAGCGAAGGGATGTTTCCAGGGAGTTTGGTAGCTCTCCTGTTTTCCTCCTGCGAAGGCCCGGGCTAGATCTGCCCTTGTCAGCTGCCTCCCTGGCTGGTCTTCGTGTGGGACGGCAGGAACTGGGCAGGCCCGGGCGACCTGGGCACGGGAGGGTTTGGACTGAAAGCAGGAGCTCGTGGGAAACGCAGTGGTGGGTGCGTGTCTGCGGAGACGGCTGCTCCTGCCTCTTCCCACGGGAGCGCCTGGCCGCAGGAGCGGGCAGCAGAAGCCGAAGGGTGGGCTGTCTTGCTCCAGGAACGTGGAGAGCACGTTCACAGTAAGACCATCGTGCCCGTGTTCCAGAGCAGAACATGAGACTCACCTGCTGTGTCCCATGCGGCTCTTGAGCGAAGAGAACCTCGGGTGCGCGTCTTGGGCTCTTGGAGCCACGCGGCCTCCTTGTGGGTGACGTCCTGTCCCTGCCGCCAGACTGTTGGAGCAGCTAACCCGTAGCTCCCGCAGCTCCTGATCAGGTCGTCCTCGTGCTCCCACTGAGCAGGCGGAGGCAGGGCTGTGCCGAGGGCAGGGAGCTGGCTCCCGGCGGACTGCCCGCACCGTGGGGACGGCTTTCCTAGGGAGGACAGCCCACCCTCAGCGCTCTCCGCGTGGGGCTGCTAGCTGAGCGCTTGCCCTGGACCCTGGAGTCGCAGGCCAAAGCCCGGAGGCATTAAGTTGCCTGATCATAGGGGTTCCTCGGGGGAGGGGATATTAAAAATGCTAGGGTATTTTTAATGGGTAGGAACACAGGCAGAAAAGTCTTGCCCAAGTTCTTAAGAACAACCTGCTTATTAACAGACTTTGTCTGACATTTTGAGTGAAATTGTCGAAAAGTAAGGGACACCTTGGCCCTGTTTTGTAGTCCAATAGCTCAATGTGCTTGTCTCCCTTAATGGGGCTTTTACTGTAAGTTCAAGATAGAAGTTAGTGTCTTGTCGTATAAAGTCATAAGCACATAGTTTTAAACGTATTTTTTTGTTGACCTGAAAATGAGAAATGGGGACCGGCCCACCAGTGAAGCGGAGCTAGTTCACGCTTAGAGGACTGGGGAATCCCAGCTTAGTTCTTGGTTTAGAAGAGCTTCAGTCTGAGCTGTCTTGTGTTCATTCTGCGAGAATTCTCCATCTGTCAACTCCGATCCATTCCCCTGAACGTGCCTTCCTGCCGGACGGCTTTGACACACGTCACTATGGAACTGTGAGCTCGTGACTGTAGGGCGAGCGTAGTCTGCCGTCTGTCCTCGGACGTCAGCCCTGCCTGAGGTCTGTAGCGAGTTGAACTGCCCTTTGGTGCTGAACGTCAGCGCAGTGCACTGTTCTGAGCTACTGTTGGGAGTAAATTAAGAGATTGGATTCTCTTCTCTCCTCAGTGGTTTGGGGGGAGGAGGGTAGAGTAAAGCAGCGTATGTATGAGGAACAGAACAGTCTGTGTTTTGAAGATGAGGGCACGTGAAGCAGCTTAACGCCCCGTGGAGAGAGGCCGCCTCAGTCCTCCCAGCACTGGCTCGTTTGCCCACTTTAGAAATCGGCACTAACGAACCTAAGGCAGGAGACGTTTCCTCGCTTACCCCCATACGGATTTAGAAGAGTGAAGTCTTTTAAGAGAATGTGTCTGTTTACAGATTCACAAGATAACATTCTGTACCTGTAATTATGAGGATGTTAACTGTTCTCATTTCTTAAAATGATACTCCTCTTTAATTTAGAAGGAGGAGTGGGCTGTTTCAGTGGATACTGGTTTTCTTGCTCAGACTTGTTTTTAATTAGGTCTAGAGAGTATAACATGATGAATGAGTTTGTGCTTTATTAGGTAACAGAAAAACTTATTTCGTTAATGCAGTTTGACATTCCTCCATAAATTACTCTTCTGTAGAATACTTAGTATTCTCCATTGCTGTTTCATTGTGTTACTTTTATTTGGGTACTGTTTGCATAATTTGGACCGACGGCTGTAACATGCTTGAGCCGTCTTCAGAACACTGCCGGCTGTGAGCCCTGCGTGCGGCGCGGGGTTGCGCGGCCTGGAGCAGGACGGTGGACGGTCCTTCCTCGGTGCTGGGTTTCTCAGGCAGCAGCACCTGCCCCGCTGCAGAAGCCACCCCGCCCGCCCTCCCGGGCGTATTTCTAGGTTGTACTAAAAGAGGATGTCAGGTTTGTCTTCTTGAGGCAGTTTTCATTTTTTTTTCTAAGGTGTCTTAGCGTTATTTACTGACATGAAAAAGTGTAGGGACACAAGTCAGTTTGTTACTTTCCCACCAGATGAAGTGTTCATTCCACAGAATCCGGGTAAGAGTGAAGTTGTTAGGTTTTTGCTTAAAAAAATAAAAATGGATTTCAGTCCGGTTTCCATTTTCTGCTGTGAACAGTTTATACAATAACTAACTAGTAATTCTGTAAATACTGAGATACACCATGAGCAGTTTTATGTGAGGGATTCCTACAGTGCTTTTGGCAATTTAAGTGGGTGCCATTGAGGTACGTTTTCACTTTTTAAATTTTAAATCTACTCCTTTTGATGTCGAGGGTGGCGTGGGCTGTGGGCACTGCTACAGGCCAGCTCGGTCTCACACGACCGAAACTGAGAAGCAGGCATTCAAAGTTGCCTTTATCCTGGCCTGTAACGACAGAAGGGCGTCCTGCTCTGGCCAGAGGTGCCCTGAAGCCACAGTACTTAGAGAAATCTGACCAGAAGGATAAAGGAGCCAGAAGCAAAACAGGCTACGTCATAAATTTTTGAAAATATCCTGAAGCATTTGCTTGGTGCGAAGGAAAGATAGTAAATTTGTTCCGTGTTGTTTCAAGAAGGCAGAACCCGAATGACAAAAAAACAGAAAGCAAACCATCAGGTGGTGAATTTTAGACCCACAGAAGAACTTTTTGCCCAGTAGTTGCCTGGAGATAGAGCGTCCGGTCTCGGGGAGCGGGGTGGTCGGTTCCCAGACAGAGCGGGCATTCCTGGCAGAGACGGAGCAGAAGGGAGGTACAATGAGGTTCCTTCCGAGTTTCAGGTTCCGGTTCTCTGACTCAGGGTTGGAGGGCACCCCCGGACTGTGAAGGAATTCTTGATGGGGGTCAGAGAGAGCACAAGGCGCGGCCGGCCGCCTGGAAGCTTGGCGTCGGGGCCCAGGTGGGCTGATGTAGACGGGCCTGCCTCAGGCTCCTGTCCTGCCCGGGTCGTGTGCTGGCCCCAGGGGAGCCAGCGGCGGCGCACCACAGTCCCCTGGAGCACAGGCCAGGTGGCACAAGGGGAAGAGTGCAGAGGGGGTTGAGCGGCTTCCAGAGTTCCATCCGTTGAGAGTTTCGCCTGTTGTCCGAGTCTGCTGCTTTCCAGGAGCTGGTTAAGCTCCCGTTTATTCTAATACAAGAACCATGCTCCTTTAACACGCGAATGCAGGAGACCGTTCCCTTCTCTAAGCCACAGTTTAATGGGAAATTAATGGACTGTGGGGACCACACCCTTAGGTAACTTAATTTTGAAACTGTAGAGCGCTAAGATGTGTGTTTTACTGTCCTTCAACAGTGATTCTAACCTGGTTATCTCGTATTTAACCCTGTGTGTGTCTGCGTGTGTCCGCGTGTGCCCCGTACGCCGCATGTGGCCGGTGCGCGGAGCGGAGGTTCAAGGCGCTGTGTTGTCAGTTGCAGGACGAGGAGCGGAGGCGCCAGCAGCAGCTGGAAGAGATGCGCAGGAGGGAAGCCGAGGACCGCGCCAGGCAGGAGGATGAGCGGCGCCGCCAGGAGGAGGAGAGAACAAAGCGTGATGCTGAAGAAAAGGTTATGGTCCTCTAGGGGCAGCTTAGACCTTTACCAGATTAGCCTGAACCCATCGATGGGCTGGGGAGAGGGGCTAGACCTTACCTGTGTCCTCAGACGCACAGTACAGAACAGGGCCTGGACCCCCACCTGTGTTCTTGGACCCAGCACTTGAGCCCGACCTGGCCCACCCACCTCTCTTCCAAACTGTGCCCAGACTCTCTTACCCTGTGAGTCTTGTCTCTCTCCTGCTTCTGAACTCATTGGCCTGGTTATGATGAGTGGGCCTCCCCGCAGCCCGCCCGCTCACTCTGGGCTCTTCCTTTCCTGGATGTGGTCCGGCTGGTTACTGGGAGAGGGTGCGTGTGCGCGAGTCGGGCAGGGGCAGCGCGAGCTGTGGCAGGCGACGGGAACATAGTAACAGTCTGTTCACACCCCGCACGTGACATCATTCACTGACGTCACTCACTGTGGGCTGACGGGAGAGAGCAGATGGCGTGTGGGACACAGTTCCAGGAGAACACAGCCAGGGTGTGATCTGATAAATATCCCGAGTTACGGCTTGCTTTCCATACGTGGATTTTTCTTATGAGAGTCATCTTTTTAAGCTGAATTTTAAAATGACAACTGATTTGACCCATTCTGAGAGACGGGGCCCGCGGCCTGCTGCTGCATACGCCGGCTGGGCCCTCCCGCAGGGCTCGCCCGTCCTGGACACGGGCCAGGAGAAGCGCAGCCGCCACTGCCTCCCTTCTGCGGAGCGCGGCCCGGAGCGCCCGGCTGCCGATGGGGAGGAGCTGGGTTTCCGTTCGTCGCTCCTTTGGTAGTCCAGTGAGCTGCCCTCACAGAGCGCCCTCCTCCCCGCCCCGAACCAGAACTTTCAGGAAGCTTTTTGTAGCAGTAGAACCAGTGCGGATCTGTGACAAGCGAAAGCAAGATTGACAGAAGCAACGAGACTCACGTAAATGAAAGTAGAGTCAATAATGCTGGCACACGTACCTGTGTGGGAACTCGCGACTTCTGCGTCTTCTAGACCTTCACCATTCCTTAAAGTCTGTCGTCATATTCTCGTCAAAGGCCGGGTGCCACTAGCTGTGCGGTTTTCTGAAGGAGTCTGAGCTTTCAGGGTTAGGTCTCCCTTGGCGCTTTACCTGGTGTCACGATAAGTAGAATCGAAATCAGTTTTCCAGAACATGAGCCCCTCGGGTTCTCCGTTGTGGTGCATGTGGTCTTGCTGTCCCTGGGCTGTGGGTGGCCTCCGTCCGCCCAGGCAACCACACAGACCCACCACTGTGCGTGGGAGCAGGGACAGCCCTGCCGCGGGAGCAGCGCGCCTTCTCGCATCTTCTCTGGGGACGCTTGGGCGCTGCTCGGTCTTTGCAGCCTGTGTGTTCACAACGCACGATCGTGTCAAGTACGCTTGTGTCTTAGGAACTGCTTCTAGAATTGAGTGCTCGCTGTGAAAACAAGCTGAATAACCTATTTTTTATACAGAATGTCCACGGTTGATGGGCTTGCTTTGTTACAGAAAACGTGCCATTCTCTTGCAGTAGAATAATTGTGGGGTCATGTACTTGTATCTGCTCTCCGTGTAACTGAAGGGGATTTTGGTTTCCTCCTAAAATGTTCTCCGTGTCACACTATGATTCCTGACCCCTTGATGTAGAGGTCATCCAGGCCATTCTGGAGTGGAGTCCCCCTCATGCAAACACTTAACTTTGTGGCGGAAATGAGGTACCAGATGTCTCTCCTTCAGGATGTCTCCACACAGAGTGAGAAGATCGCGTGAGAAGTTGGGTGTAGGGCCCTGCCCGGGGCTGGCACGCATCCTCGCGGTTCCCCCCCCCTAGAAGGGGACACACTGGGCACTGCTGTCCGGGGCGTGCGTGCTCCTGGGGACGCAGGGCAGGAGCGCCAGCGGCACAGCAAGCACGTGTGTCCCCGAGCCCGCTGGGGCCCGCGTGAGCGCTCTTCTGGTGAGCGCGTGGCGAGGTCGCCCCGTTCCGCAGCCCTGCGTGCTCCCAGCTGAGGCGCGGCCTTCTGTCTTGGATCCCCTTCTCACGCTCACTTCTCCGTGTGTTTGACAGCTTTTGTCAATCTTTAACAGAACCGTGCTCTTACCTTTTTTAATGTGAAAATAATTTCAACTCTGTCAGCTGTAGTGTGTGCAGATGTGCGTCAGGAGAAAATGTACAGTGCGTGTCCAAATATATTTGAATTCCGTGTTGCTGTCGCTGTTAACGCCTGGCTCTCATTTTCTGTCTGTCAAGGAGGCTGCTACGATCCGAGCTATGAACTAAGAACTGTGGAAAGCATATTGTTAGACTGTTGCCTTGAGAAAATGAGTCATTTTTTTTTTTACAGTTGATGGTTTGTGTTAACTTCCTTCTGAATAACTGGAAAGAAACCAGGTGACTTAATGGTCCTTCTGGTCGAGGAGGGGCCGCCCCCGACCTCCCGGGGTGCGGCGGAGAAGCTGGCGTGTGGGCCTCTGTGCTCACACGTGCCGGCTCTCGAAAGCCAGCGAGAGGCTATTTGGGGTTTTGTTTTGTCTTTAAACCGAGCAGTCACAGGTAAGTTCATCTCCCGCAAGAACAGAAGGAGAGAGGCGGAGAGGCAGAGAATTCTGGGTCTGGAGGACTAGGGACGGGGACAGGGGTGCAGTAAGAGGAAGCTGGAGCCCGGGAGCGCGTAGAGGCCCCGCGCTCCGTGCGTGGGGCCGTTCCAGGTCAGATGGTCCCGTGACAGGATGAGTGTTTCCGGGGAATTGGCCCGGTCCTGTCGTAGACTGTTACGTTGAAACGTCGCTGTCCCCTGGACTCACAATCAGTGTGGCGGTGGGGTACGGAGGGTAAATGCGCCCTTTCGTGTGCCCTGAAGTCCCCTCCTGATTCTGACTCTTGTGCTTTTGTCTCTTCGGCCTGCAGAGGCGACAGGAAGAAGGCTACTACGGCCGCCTGGAAGCTGAGAGGCGCAGACAGCACGCTGCAGCCGAGCGCAGGGTGCTGGAGCCCGAGGAGCCGGGTCTGTGCAGACCTCCGCTTCCGCGGGGCTATGAGCTCCCGTCGCCGACCCCTCCGGCTTCCGCCCCTCCTCCCCCGCCTCAGCGGACCGCCTCCTCCCTCCAGGCCCCGGCCCTCTCCCCAGACTCCCTGTACACCGCCAGGCTCGTTTCGTACCACGAGGAGGAGGAGGAGGAGGAGCCCTGCAGTCTGGCAGGTCAGGATAAGCACGCTGGCACCAGGAAGTCCCACGGGCACCTTCTGCTTCCCGCCACCCCTGAGCCACAGCAGCCCCCTTGCCCGCCGCGCCCGGCCTCCGATGGCATCTTTCTCTCCAACTCATTCCAGCCACCCTCGGCCCGTGCCAACAGTACTGCTCGCAGAGCAGGCCAGCCCTTGCCCCCTCCAAAAAAACCAGGCTTCTACCAGCCCAGCCACTCGAAAGGTAGAGGTAAAACGTGGGACTGCAAATCAAGCCCTCTTTATTCTCTTGATTAAAATCGGGACTCTGCCCCCCCTGCTGCAGTGTGGGCCCCTCAATCAGCACTGGCTCTGGTTTCACCTGATCACTGGCCTCAGCGTGGTGGTCCTCCCCTGCCTCCGGTTGTCCTGTCTGTGCTAAGAGTCGTCCTAGCACCTACCCCAGCTCCCCAGCTCTCCACCTGTAGGGTGCTGTCCCTCGGACCGGCTGGCGGCAGCTGGCCCTCCGTTACTCCCGGTCACTTGAAGTACCGTTGGTCGTGGCCTCCATTCGCTGCCTCTTCAAGTAACTCTTACATTTGGTTGAACACGTGCTTTTTTAACACATCTTGGTGTCTAAAGATAGAGTGAGCTGTTCTTCTAGCAACGTCATGGTCACGTGCTAGTTTCATTCTTTAACATGAGTAGAACGTTCCGTTCCGGCTTGTGTGCCCTGTGGCTGGGTTTTACCAGACAACCCCTGCTCTCTGTGGTAGTTGGGACAGAGTTGTTGGTGCCACGCTGAACTAATGGTCCTGCTTGAATGCGACGCAGAACCCAGCCATCGTGAAATTACTCCTTTCCCCTCTCGCTGGTGTTGTTCCCCCGTTACGTGAGATTCCCTGCACGTCATGGTCCTAGTACCCAGACCTTGACAGTCACACAGTTGCCTTAATACGGTCTCTGAAGACCAGCATGACAGTGGTCCTGCCCACAGGCACGTCCACCCTAACCAGTGTCCAGGACCCGTGTGCAAATATCCAAATACCAGGTTCCTCTTACTAGCTTAAACTTAGAATGCTGGCCGTAACTATGGTCCGATTTAGTGGTCTTCACGGACACAAGGGTCTTTTAAAATGCTCCTGGTGTCGTGCCCAGAGCTCAGGATTCTGAAAGAACCTGAATAATCAAAAACATGCGTGACCTTGGCTCTTCCAGAACAAGCGAGTTCTGCCAGGGTCTCTTCCCTGAGTGTCAGAGCTTTGACCTGCCCTGAAGTCTCAGTGTATCATGTTGAGACGGAGTCACTCAGCGGCCAGAATCAAATCTTACAAAATTTCTGCCGTCGATATCTAGAAAGACGTTTTTGGGGTAATAGTCATTTTTGAAGCAGGATGCCCTCAGTCCTTGTGTCGCGTCACAAGCTGAAAACCCGCATTGTGTGTCGTGGCATAGACCAGGCTGCTGACGCGGTGTTGGGCTAGGTTTTCATTGCTGACCACCTGGCTTTCCCGCAGACCGCTAACCCTTACTTTATTTCACACGGAAAAGACCATGTCGGAGCAGGTTCCATCCTGCCTCTGGTGGCTCGTGCCTCTCTGAAGACTGCCTTCGTACAGTACGAAGCCGTGTGCACCCCGTCAGCGCGATTCTGACCCCCTCACTGCCACCCCCCTCGCGAGGCCGCGCCCCTGGGTTCAGCTCGTTTCTCTGTTGTGCGCACTCAGCATGCTCCTGGGTGGGGGGGGACTGGCTTCTTCCACTGGCTGCCTGAGGAGGAGCATCGGGGTGCGAGTTGGAATAAAGAGTGTCTCATTCTAGCATAGCAATGTATTTTTAAAAAATGTTCTTTGACTAGAGCGTTTTGGAAGATTACTTGGAACGTGCAGGATTAATTCATCCACATCCACTGAAAGGATGTAATATTCTGATTAATTTTTAAAATTATGAAGAAAATTACCAGTGGAAGAAGCAAGTATCATTCTTAAACAAAGCTCAAAAGATACAACACATTTTCTAAAACAAGGAAGATGCAGAATTAAAATCGGAAACAACCGCACTCTGCTGCTGATCACTGCTGTGGGGGTCTAGTGTGGCGACCCCGCGTGGGCGTGTGGGCAGTGTTCTCTGTCCTCTTCTGAGTCTTGCGGGGGAGGCTTTCACACGCAGCCATCGCAGGGGCCGTCGCAGAGGAGTGGGAAAGATGTAGTGCCCTGAGGAGGCGCGGCCAGCCAACGGGGGCCGCCTGGCGCATCCCTGCGCCCAGAAACCCGGCAGGGGGTCATTTTTGTTCTGCCGAGAAGGAAAACTTCCACGCTGAGGCGCGGTGTCACTCCTGCGGCCTCTCTGATCCGCGCCCAGCACTGTCCGCCTTCACCGGGCGTCTTGGGCACGTATCACTACAGCTCGGTGGGGTTGTACATGAGACGTGCTGCTGGCGTGGAATGTTCTCTTCTTGCTGATGTTAAAATTAACAACATCAGCACGGGTGCACGCTGTGATGTAAGTAGTGTATCATTAGTGGTGGTCTGTTTGGGTACATTTTAAATTTTGTATCTGCATCATCTCTTTTGACCTCGAACACCCCTTTGGAGTGGATAGAGCACGCGGTGCTGTTCCCTGCCGCCTGCCGCCGGTCCCCCGCGGGGCCGGGCCGGGCACAGGCCGGTGTACCACAGGCTCGCGCGCTTCTCCTCCGCACGGCTTGCTGTCTGGCGTCGGGTGACCTCGTGTCTGCAGCATTTCTATCAAACACGGGGTTTCCTGTGCCGCGGAAACTTGATGTAAAGAGTTTTGTCTTGGTAACTGTAGCCACACATGTAGCAAAAGCTTCCGTGGCTGGCCTGAAAAGAGGCTGGAGGCGCGGCCCCTGCTCACTGCTGGGGTTTCATTTGCCTTCGGTCGCTTTGTGAGGAGACCCTTCACGTCAGGAGTGTCTCACAGTCTCCCCATCTGAGTCAGTCTTCCGTGGGTTTTCCCTGTGAGTTCTTGCTAATTTTGCTTCTTAACTGATGTGCCCCGTCTGGTTGTCACTGCCTAAGGCCTGGGCCGTGCCCGCCCGTTCCCACGGCGTGGCTGGCTCGGAGCACCATGCGCCCGCGGCCGGGTCACTGGGTACCTCAGGCCACCGAGTGCTGCGAGCTTCAGACCCCCGGGCCTCCTGTCGGCTTCTGCGTTCTCCTCTGTGGCATTGCATCTTGATCGTGAGTAAAGTTTTAGAAACTGTGCAGGTACTTTAACTTTGATTTTTTCTTTTATGGAAAAGGACCCAACTCTTACATGGGATCGGCTGGGACAGCTGTTGGGGCCCATGATGCTTACCGGGATCCGAGAGAGAGACCGTCTAAAAGGTATTTACGGCTGGGCTGGCTCTGCAGGCGGCTGAAGCGAGCAGAGAGACCTCCTTGTGTTCTCCGATGTTTCTCGTTGCGCACAAGCGGGCGGCCTGGACGCTCTTTGGTTCCGCGTTGCTGTAGAGCTGCGCTTCAGACGGGGCTGCGGGTATGGGGCTTATGGGTGCAAACTCGCATGGGAGCTGGGCGTGCTGCCGTGTGCTTCTGCCGGCGAGGGCGGGGAGTCTGGGGCAGTGTCCAGACAGCTGCGAGACTGCCCAAGTCCGGCCCTGAGGACACACAGCGAGCGGGCCCCGTGTCCGCGCCGAGTGCCTCACCTAGCCTGTAGTCCAGACCCTTCTTAGAACACTGACATCGAGTCCCCGAGAAATGTGTAGGGTCTTACAGCAACTTGTTAAGGTAGGTCTGCTGACAGATGTTTCCCAGGTGCATGTGGGCTCCTTACAGGTCCGTGTTTTTAAGCTGTGCCTCTTTAGTTAAACTCACCTGTGAAGAATCCCCGACCTGCTCAAATTGAAGGGACCTGCGTTTTGAGAGTTGGGCGTGGCTGGAGAAAGTCAGCAGCTTAGTTAGGAGAACACATCTAACGACAGCCCCAGTAATTGTGTTTATGGGAAGAGTTATGGCAAAGTTAACAAGGAGTGAGTCTCCCTCTTGGAACAGCACTTAATTGTCCCTTATGTAGAGTGACCGACTGAGTGGGAGTAGCGGCTGACCCATGTTGACCAGTGATGTCTGCATTTCCTCCACTGCAGCCACGATGCGGACTTGCCCGGAAGCTCGGGAGCCCCTGAAAACTTGACATTCAAAGAGCGCCAGCGTCTTTTTTCACAAGGTCAAGATGTGTCCAACAAAGTCAAAGCCTCTCGTAAATTGACAGAACTGGAAAACGAACTGAACACAAAATGAGCCGAGGATGAGGTGCCCGGGCCACCCCAGGGTCCTGGGGGTGTGGCTCCGGAGGACAGGCTCGGCGAGGAGGCCACACCGGCATGCCCGAGTCACCGAAGCGCCATTTTGGAGTCGGCTGGGCCCCAAAGACGGTCCTGTTCCAAGAAGTTCTTTTCTTTCACCAAGAGATGATCATTTATACGATGTAAACACTGTCTCATTTCTTAATTACCTGACTCACAGGAAGATAAGTTTTTTGTTTCTTTTTTTAAAGTCTGAGTGGGAGACGGGAGAATGCTGGGCAGGAGAGCACAGTGGGGACATGTCTTCCCCCCAGCCCTGCGTGTCGCAGAGGCCGTGTGCGTGCTGTGTCGTTCACGATGCTGCGGCCGTGGGGTGGGGACCAGCTTGAACTGCCCAGACCTTGTTTGCACTATGGGGGAGCAGCTGCAGACCACGTGCCCAGAGGGTGACCTGTCCCCTTCCAGGAGAGAGAGCCTCTGGGGGACCGCCCCCTCACCTGCCCCCCATGGGTGGTCGCCAGGCAGCTCAGACCCACATGGCCCAAAAGGGAGGTGGTGCCTGTCAGGCCCCTGCCCCTGTCCTCCTTCCCTCTGGGGACAGCCCTCCTGGGATTTCTACATACATGATTTTTTAAAAAATGCTCCAAGAAGACAATTTTGAGGATTTAAGCTTAGGATATTTTATTTTTATAAATGCCAGAGTATTGTTAGGCTAATAAATCATTGGTGATTTTGAAGATGGCAGTTAAGTTAGTTCACAGAAGATTTCGACTCTTCAGGGGCCCCTGAAACAAGGATGTTTATCTGGGCCGTATTGATGTGGAGAGAAACGGAAGCATCTGAGAGGGATGGGTGGTTAGGGACGCCTGAGCACGGGGCTGCAGAGGAGGGCCGAGTTGCGGCCGCGGGCTGTCCCGGATGGAAGGCTCGTTGACATGTGGTGTCTGTGACTGAAAATGTCGGACAGACTCGTGCGGCAGTTCAAGCCTTTTTTTTTTTTTTTTTTTTTTAACATCAAATAGAAAGTTATTTAATATTCATGTGAGTCACTGGTGATCACTGTTGTCTCCCCAGCTGTGACCGTGTGGCTGATGCTGGGGAGACGGAGCTCACTGGGTTTCATCCCGTGTGCTCGGACAGTGCTGAATTACCTTGTGGTAATGAGCAGACCTCTTATGTGACAAGCCCTGCTGTAGGATCTCCATGATTCTTCTCTACCAGATTGTTCTCTTACAGATACGTATGTTAGGGAAATGCACACTTTCAAGTAGAAGAGGGAGGCTTTCTAGCCGTAGAAATCACTTTAATGAGAGCTGCACGATTAATCACTGAAATGTGAGTGTAAATATTCTTATGTCGATCAGGGTTCTTATCTGGAAGTGTGCTCTCACCATTCCCCTTGTCTAAGGGAGTCACGCGGTGGCACTAAGTGTTGATGAAGGATGTGGGTGTCTGCTCTGGAGGCTTCAGGAAAAGCAGGCCCTACCCGGGGCACTCGCGAACACTGGCCACCTTACAGGGACGAAATCCACGCTTTCTTTGACGAAAAGACACAGATGAGTGACTTTTCTGTTAATACACACACCTAAGTACCTGCAAGTACATGTAAATCCTGGCATACGGGGGTGTGTGTGCGTGTGTCGTCAGGCCTGTGAGCAGGTGGGCCGGGCTGCCCTTGAGTGATGGGTCAGATGTGAACACGTGCTTTTCAGGACTGTGCGTCACTGTGGCCGTCACAGCTGCTGTACCTCCCCATTTCTACTGTGCTTCATCTGCAATCTATTTTTAATAAACTTTGTATGTATTTAAGTGTTTGCTGTGGCCGCAGTCCGGCAGGCAGAATCGCATCTGTGATCGGCAGCCTCACCTCCCGTCCCCTTCTGCCTGTGTGGTCATTCACGAAAGGTCCCCTGAGGGTCTGTCAGACGCTCTTTCCGGTTTGTCCGGACTGTGCAGACAGTTTGACAGAGGCCCCAGGCGACTCTGGCCCTGCTCTCCCGAGCTCAGCTCCCCAACCCTGTCTGCACAACCCGCTGGCACATCCCCAGACCCCGTGGTCACACAGACTCACGCGGCCCCTTCACGGTCTCAGATTCTTAAGCTCACCCCAAGCTTGGGAAGCTGTGTGGACCAGGTGTCCTGGCGATGCCGTAGCGGGGAGGACCTGCCTGAGGTGGCTCATGGGGGGCAGTGGGGTCACAGAAGCGCATAGGGGCCGCGAGAAGGGAGCCGGCAGCTCCGGCTGCCCTGGAGGGGCCCTGGCCCTGCCTCTCCCAGGGGCTGCCTCCTGTGCTCCCTGTGCCTTGGCCACCTTCCTTCGAGGCCCCAGAGCAGGCGTGCTAGGGAAGATGCTGCCGTGGAATTTTGGGAAGAGCTTTCCTGGAGGGGTGGCAGGTGGGGACGTCTTAGGGCTGCCGAGGCTCAGGGAGGCGTTGGGGTCAGCCCAGCTGCCTACACACCGAACGGGGACGCTCACTGGTTGTGGATCTGAATGCCCAGAATGGTGCTCCAAGTTTCCGGAGGACAACCTAGATGTTGAGTCCGGCTCTCGGGACCACGGTTCTTTCGCTCCTCACGAAGGTGAGGACCTATGGGGGCTCTGGGTGGTGGGCGTCGCAGAAACCAGACACCATGGAGCGCCGGACGCCCTGGGGACCGGATTTGGGGGGGGAGGTGGGCAGGGACAGAGAGCCCCGCTTAGTTCCGCCCCCTGCGCAGGATCCCCCACCAGGCCTGGCAGGAGGTCAAACCCCCGCAGAAATATGGAGGCAGCGCCCATGGGGCAGCGCAGTCGCATGGTCAGGGAAGCAGCTCAGTACGGCCTCAGCGCCAGCATCACCCACAGCACAGCATCGCCTGGAGAGGAGACGCCGAGGGACGGGCTTCAGTGCACCGCTCCAGCCGCTTCGTTCAAGGTCATGGCAAAGTCATTCCTTCATTACACAGATACGAGTCATGAGTGCCTGCCACGCCAGTGACCGGGGCCTCTGGTTCCAAGTGTCCCACAGCAGATGCAGGCAGGTGGTCCACGGGGACACAGACCCGATTCCTCCCTCGTTCGTGCACGGCAGGTGCACAGGGCGCTCCGGGCGGCCCCACCTAACTCCAGGCACGGGCCCTTCCCGGAAGCTTCCCTCCGCAGCAGGAGGGCTGTCGGCGGTGGAGACCCCCGCGCAGAGAGGCCGCTGCCCGCACACGCCAGGAGCCCAAGGCCAGGGCAGTGGGAGCTGAGGGCGCCGGAGACCAGGGCTTTCCACCGAAGACCCCTTCGCAGCCCTCACGCGGCTGCCTGCAGGGGCCGCTCCCCCCGACCGGAGTCGGGGCGCCAGGGACTGCCAGGCAGCACCGGACTCAGCAGCCGAGCAGCCACCGCCTCACCCCTGGGAGCGGCGTCCCGCACACTCCCGGTCAAGGCGAAGGTCCGGCGCCCCATAGCACGGGGCCTTGTTCTCCCGCAGCTGCAGAAGAAAAGAGGCAAACAGAAGTACGTTCCAGCATATTCTACTTAGCCACGTGTCCGGCAACCAGCCTCGCGGTATGCAGTCGGCGCAAAATGTGCGCAGGAGCCAGTGCGCTCCAGTTTTCACAGGAAGCCTTTTCAAACCCAGCTGTGTTTTCTGTGCCACCTGTGGCAGGGGTCAGCCTGGAGGCCGGGCGACCCACCGTGTGCAGGTGCAGGCGAGCGGCTGCGACACCAGCTTCTGTCTGGATATATGCCTCGGGCAGGGGCAGTGGTGGGAGGGACACGGGGGCCAGCAGGCGGCAGCACCCTGACACTCCAGCCAGTGTGGCGGCCCCGCCCCCGCCCCAGGTCCCCGTCCGGTCGGGGAGCAGCTGCTGGCGTCGGAGTGCACGGCGCGCACACGGCACACGCGGTGCGGGTCGTGCGTGCGTCCCACGGGGCCCGGAGCCGGTCAGCAGGTGGCCCCCCGCCTAGCCGGCCGCCGCAGTGCACAAGGAGGCCTCGCGCTCGCGCTCGCGCTCGCGCAGCGGACCCCAACCCCGCGGCCTGTGGGCTGGGTTGCAGGCGGCCTCTCCCGAGCAGCGGCTGGGACGAGGATGCGGCTTCTCCGCACGAGGCCCTGCCTGTTCCTCCGGATGCGCGCTGTGAGGCCGCGGCCCCTGAACTGAGTACCCGTGCGCCCCACGCTGTCTGGGCGCGGCCCCCACGCAGGACCCCTCGCCGCGGGGCCGTTCCTCCGGGAAAGGAAGCCGTGGTCGCCTGGCGGACGTGAGGACCGCAGTGAAGCACCTCGTCGCCCCCGAAGACGCTTGTTTGTATGGCATTTGGAGCAGCCACACTTTAGGAAATGGTCTTCAAACGGAGCCACTCCCCTCCCCAACAGGGCCCTCCGACCCCTCCCCCCTCCTTCCGCCGCCAACCCCTGACCCCGTCGCGTGGAAACCACGGTGGGGGAGGGGCGCAAACGCCCGCCCACGCGGATTCCGGTGGATTCTGTTACAGTGTTTCAGCTGAGAGCTGGGCCCCGCGATGCCCGAGCAGGACGGGCGCTGGGGGCGCATCTCGGAGCAGCGGGCCAGGCAGCTGCAGCGCCGGGTGCAGGTGAGCGCAGCTGCGGCAGCACCTGGAACCGCACTGGCCTTGGGACCGCCCCTTTCCGCTCTGAGCCTTGGGGCCCTGGCCAGCAGGGGAGCGTTGGGGTGATGGCCCTCAAAGACCTCGTGCAGCCCAGGCCCCGTCGTCTTCCCCTTCTCTCTGTAGGGTGTGAGGTCCTAGTCTGTTGTCCCCCTCCGACCTCACCCCACCCCCACCCACACCTGAGGCCTCACTGCCCTTCACCTGAGGCACCTGTGTCTTCCGCCTAGGGCCCTCCTGTTACTTACTGAACGTTCACTATTCTCTGTGCTAAATTTGGGAGTAAGGTGGGTAAGCAACCACCCCACTCTCTTGGATAAAGGAATAAACAGTCACGACAAACGTAAACCACCAGAGTGGCCCCATGATGATGCTACAGCGGGGAGGTCCGTGGTCAGAAGGTCCACTCTGGACATGTGTGTCGCTTCCCACAGGGTGGCCATCTCACCAGCACACAGTTGAAGGGTCCAAATTACCAGTGGGTGGGGTGGATGCCTGGGGACCCATGTGGACCCCCACTCCCATGACAGAGGCCTGGCCCCAGAACAGAGGCCAGGAATACTGGGGTCCCAAGGGCTCTTTCCACCCTCCATCAGCACAAAGGTTTCATAGTGACAGAGGCAGCCAAGAGACCGGAGGCCACAGCTCTGCCCGGTGCCCCGAATGGCGATTTTTACTTCTGGAGATTTTAGCCCAGGAGAGGCAGCCGGTAAGAAGAGAGAGCTCTGAAGTTCTTCCCAAAGGAACTGACTTTCTTTTACCTGTATCCAAAACATGCTATGGAGAAGTTTAGAAACACAAGCTCTTCTCAACCGAGAGCAGTTAGCAGTCTGCTTGGGCACCATAACAAAGAACCACAGAAATATGCTCTTTACAGTTCTGCAGACTGGAAAATCGGGGACCAAGGTGCAGGCAGGGGTGGTTTCTCCTGGGGCCTCTGCCCTTGGCTTGTGTGGCTGCCTTGTGGTGCACTCATGTGGGCTTTCCTCTGTATGTGTCCTCTCTGGAGGACCCTCTGTACCCTACTCTTCTCTTCCTGTAAGGACACCAGTCAGGTTGGATTGAAACCCTCTCCAATGGCCTCATTTTAACTTAATCACCCCTTAAAAGGCCCTATCTCCAAATACAGCCACATTCTGAGGTCCTGGACTTGGGACTTCAATGAGTGAATGGTGGGGGGTGGGGGTGGGATACAGCTCATAATGAGCAACAAGCTAATAGGCCATCTAGCTCACTCGAGGTTAAGAAGAGCCTGGGGTTAGGACCGGACTGGCTTCCAAAAGTATCCCTGCCCCAGTTTAACCGGACCAGACAGTGGAGAAATTTATGCCCCAGGCCATTATTGAAAACAGTAAGGCAGTCAATAATTAGTGGGGTTGTTGTGATACCAAGGGAGACATAGTAACAGAGAGATTGGGGAGAGGCAGCTAAGAAGAGCCCTCCTTAAACTACTGTCTCCCAGTACCTGTGTGCGTGCCCGTGGCTGTGTCCTTCCTGCTGCTGGGAGGGTGGGGCCGGGCAGACTTCCCCGGAAGAGGCGAACTAAGTCACTCAGCAAAGCACACAAATAGCGACAGCAACAACAAAAACTGGGTGGAGGAAAGGCATCACTATCTAAAGTTTCTTCATTTCCTAAAATGTCTTGTTTTCAACAAAAAATTATAAGACAGGGAAGAAACAGGAAAGTGAGACTCATCCACAGCAGGGAAACCAATAATAGGAACTCCCCATGAGAATGCCTGATGTTGGAATTAATAAGAAGCCAAAACAGTCATTATAAATATGTTCAAAGAACTAAAGGAAACTGCATTATAGAAGAGAAGGAAAATATGATAATTTCTCATCAGATAGAAAATATCAATAAAGAGATAGAAATTATTTTTTAAATTATAATCCTAGAGTTGAAAATCACTGAAATGAGGATGTTCTCTAGAGGACTCGAGTAGATTTGAATAGACAAAAAAGGAATCTGCAAACTATTAGATTAGTAGACATTATGCAATCCTAAAAACAGAGAAAAATAGAAGATAAATGAATAGAACCTCTGGAAAAGGTGTGAAACCTGTAAGCACACCAGCATATACATCAGGGGAGCACCAGGAAAGTAGACCAAGAAATAATTGCTCAAACTCCCAAAATTTATTGGAATTTGGTACACATGAAAGAAACTTAATGAACTCCAATTAGGAAGAATACAA